TACCATATTGAAAAATATACTATTTTTGTATGATAATTATGGGTTTTGTATTTTATTTTAATAGAAGTTGATGTTGCTTTTGCAATTATCCATCAATTTTTTAAAATTAAACACTATCTACAGATTTGCATCGAAGCGTTTCTTATGATAGTGATTTTAATCACTGTCAGATTAAATCTATACTGGACCCTACTATGCAATGTCTCCACTATGCCGCGACCCCACTGTGCTACCATTTTTTTATTATGTGATTATATATACATATATCTAAAATTTGTATTTCTAATAGAAATAAAAATCTAAAATTTATTTCTACATAAATCTATAAAAATCAAATATTTTTGTGTAAAATACTATTTACATTTTGACGATCCATTTATGATCATACTTGTATTTCTTGACCATATACTTTTCTACCAATTACAAATGTATCTAAATATTAAACATATAGAGTGATCAAAAAGGTCAATTGTTACGAACGATGAGAACAATTGACCCGTTTCATTATTTTTTAAATATTCTATATATTTTATATTTAGATACTCTTGTAATTACTAGAAAAGTATATGGTCAAGGAGTACAGGTTTTTGTACTTGTTGGATATGTTTAATTAAGTTATACACGTCATTAAAATGCCATATTAAACTATTATCATCTATTTATCATAAAATGCGTCATGGTCTAAGTGAGCACTTTTTGCATGTTGTTATACATATGTCTGTTAAATTATGTATATATATATATATACATATACATAGTCCTTAAATTTTAGTTTGTGATAGAAATATACTTCAAAGAAGATATTTACTTCCTACATGTGTTAAAGTAGGAATAAAAAATATAATATGGCTTACAATATACACCATAAGACATCGAACTTCATAGTATTTGACATTACATATGTTATATGACATTTTTACATAGAGTTACGTTTGAAATACAAGTATATGTTAAATAAAAAATAAGTATCAATTTACCTCGTTTACTATTAATGTAACAAAATACAAAATCTAAAAATAGATATTCTTTTATTGTTAATAATATTATAAAAGTATTATTTTTGAATTTCGCTATATGAATCTAATCAGTGTAGTATTCGCGTAGTATTGTGAATTTTGTATTCGGTATTTTTGATGTATAAGATATTTAGTTTCCTTAGTTTACGTCATATAAGTACTCCATTATTCATATATACTCCCTGTCGTTCAAATATGTATGTTGTATAGAAAATTTTAAAAATGTATGATATAAAATTAAAAATATTTAAAAAATGTTGACATTTTTCAAAAATGAATACCTTCCTTGTTACCATTTATACGTGCAAATAAAAAAGATTTTTCAAAAGCATAGCTTTTCAATATTTAGCCCAAATATTTAAAAAAAATATTTTGTTAATTTAAGTGTATTTATGTATGAGCAAAGTAAGAAAAAAATTTTGAAGCTAGTAACTAATTTTTCTAACTTTTAAAAAATTGTACACTTTTATTTTCGATATACATCTGGAAAGCTAATTGGTTTGTCTTTGTCGTGTCTTTTTTCACTATAGATGATTAATAGGCGCTCTTATTGTATCGGTTTTGATCAGTGATAAGTTAAAAGATCCCAAAATACATTTTGTTGAAACAATTATGGCCATAATTCTAATCATTTCACTTCATTTACCGTAACAAAGAAAAATGTCCCAAAAATAACTATTGTTATAATAAAGTCAATGTTAATATATTTAGTTTGGACTTTATATAGAAATAATATTTTAAAACTGGACAGGTTATTGCGAAATATTTATTGACAATACATTAGACAGACATTTACCTAACAATCAACATATTTTTTTTAAAATCTTATAATTTAATACAATATTGTGAGGTAAAATGATTATCATGTTAAATATTTTTCTAGAAATTTTTTAAAATGTTCTTAAGAACATTATATTTAAATATAAAATTTCGTAATCCTAAAAAACATAATTTAAAAATGACCAATTTTGTTGTTATTTCAGTAAAGGAATACATATATTATTCTAAATTATTTCATATTATAGATTGTTTAATGTACTGTACAGTAAAAAAACAGTTTGGTAACTTGTAATCGGAATCTTAAGCCAAAAATCATGTAAGTTTAGGATAATATGATAAATGTTAACTTCGATGCTAAGCTGTAAAAGTATTTTACTATAATTTGTTTTATTAGCTTCGATGCGAAGCTGAGAAGGTATTAATTATACCATATAACTTTTTCAAAAATCAACAAATCAACATAATTTTTTTTTATACTAAAACCTTAGATATTTCCCTTTCATTTGATATCATTTTTTTGAAAATTTAACACTTAACCTGCTCACTGGGGAGATTTAAAATAGCAACTTTTTTACAAAAACTAACTTTTTCAACTTAATTTTTGAAAATGTTCCGGAAATACTGCGCCCTTTAAACATATGTCAAATTAAAGCTTATGTCATATATTATAAATTAAAAAAAAAAAAATTTGTCCCGACGACCTATCTTCTATGCGCAAATGGCTACCGTTTTCAAAAATATGCTATTTTTGTATTAAAATTCTGGGTTTTGTATTTTATTTTATATTAAAATATCTTATTAGGGGAATACACTGACTTTCATGCATATTATATAATTTAATTGACATAGAATAAAGTTCATAAGACATAAGAAATTAAACTTATTAAAATTTTTTTACTTTTTTAAAGTTGAAAAAATAATTTTAAAATTTGAGTTAGCTTAATTAGTCAATTTTATCATGTGACGAAAGCAACGAACCGTTGCCGAAACGTTAACACTTTTGTCTTTCACGCTTAAAGTATGAGGTTCAAATCTGCTTGTGGCAAATTATATTTTGCATTTTTTTTTGAGTTAGAATAAAATTTTCAAATCATTTGATATTTATCTCATTTAGATTCAATAACTTCAATAAATATAAAGGATCCTATCACTATAGTCTCCCCTCGTGAGAAGAAATTTATATTCATGTTAATATTATTTTATTATGTAGTTTTTTTTGTGGCTACGATTTATTTTGCCAACCCTCACTAGACCTACTTTTTTTAACGATACGTTAAATTATTACAATTCGTATTTAGTTTAAGTTATTACTCTTAAAAATCGAAAAAGTATTCCTTATTTAAATAAAAAGTAGTTTAACCAGCTTTTTCCATACAAACAATTAAAATAATTAATTTGTAATATTTTTATAGTATTTATTGTCGAATTAAATTTGATATGATAAAAGTATTCAACTACAAAAGTAAATAATTTTACTTTGTAATTTATTAATTTTTTAACTCTATTTGTGTGTGCTACTTCCAGTCTATAATATTCCAAATTTTTTTGTAATATGTTGCTATATAAATCATAAATTTAAAAAAAAAAATGATTTTTAGTTTCACCTGAATTTAACAATGGATTTTTACAATTATAATCAAATTTTATAATATGCTCAATTGAGTAAATCTTTTTAACAACTTTTTTGTAATTGGTTTTTTTAGATATATAATCATTAAAATTAATTAAATTTTGAATATTTCCATTGTATAATCTTTTTAAACACCATAAGTTAATTAGAAATGATTACTATGAGTTTTATTTAAGTGATCTATTACGATAAAAATATAAAAAAATCGAATTTTTCTGATAAATGTACTGTAAATAGTAATTATAAAATTTCCCGATTGAATATTAATCTTAACAATTTCATTTTTTTCTATTTAATAATGTCAATTTCAAACTTGCAAGTTGAACTATAAGTTATGGTAACAAATTCATTTTTTTTTTATTAAAACTTTCATTTTAAAGGACAAAAAAAAGTAGGTTCAAAACGATTACTTTTAACATATTAAAAATCAAAATCAA